GCTTGTTCTGTGAATCCAGCCCTTTTGGTTCATGAAAGTTGTTTAACGTAAGACCACTGGAGAAATCTGCTGAAATGTAATCATGCTTTGGTATCCCTCATGGGATAGAAGATACCAAAATCCAGGATTACTTAAGTGCCTGTTATAAAACGAGTGTATGGTTTATTTCATCTTCCCATACTAGATATACACTCTACCTTCAGTCTACACACTTTATTCTTGCTAATAGACTTTAAAGCATCTCTTATACTTAATACAATGTAGTCATACTGTATTGTTTTTTTCGTTTGTGGGTTTTTTTTTTGTCGGTCGTGGGGCTTGGGCACTGTCCCTACACTCTTCAGCGAGCACTCTACGGCTTGAGCTACAGTGCCACTTCCGGTTTTCCACTGGAGATAAGAGTCTCTTGGACTTTCCTGCCTGGGCTGGCTTTGAACTGCGATCCTCAGATCTCAGCCTACTGAGTAGCTAGGATTACAGGTACCCAGCTACTGTATTGTTTTTGAATGACAAAAGTCAGTACATGCTCAGTACAGATGGAAACTTTTCCTAAGTATTTTTGATCTTCTGGATCGTGTACATGGAGGCCTCACACTACACTCCCATTTCTATACTAGGTTTGCACATGCTTGAGAAATCCATTGAATCTTGACATTACCACCTAGAAAACAAGTAAAATACTCTGACTTGCTGTGTTCAGAAAACGAAATGTTATGAAAACAGAACATAAGAACGATCGAGAAACTAATGAAGTCGGGTGTTGGTGGCTCACACCTGTAATCCAAGATACTTAGGAGGCTGAGATCTGAGGATCACGGTTCAAAGCCAAGCTGGGGGGCTGGGAAGGTGGCTCAGTGGTATAGTGCTTGCCTTGCATGCCTGAGGCCCTGGGTTCGATTCCTCAGCACCACATAAGCAAAAAAGAAAAAAAAGCCGGAAGTGGTGCTGTGGCTCAAGTGGTAGAGCCCTAGCCTTGAGCTGAAGAGCTGAGGGACAGCGCCCAGGCCCAGAGTTCAGGCCCCACGACCAGACCCCCCCCCCCCGCCAAAAAAAAAAAAAAAAAAAAGCCAAGCTGGGTAAGAAAGGCGGTGAAACTCTTATCTCCAATAAACCACCAGAAAACCGGAAGTGGAGCTGTGGCCTTGAGCATTAGCCTTGAGCTGAAGAACAGAGACAACACTCAGGCCTAGGGTTCAAGCCCCATGACCGACCAAAAAAAAAAGGGGGGGAGGAGGGAGGAAAGGGAGGGAGAGGAGGAGAAACGGGGGGGAGGGGAAGAGAAACTAGAATGATGATAACTGCCACTTACTTTATTCAAAGCCAGACACAGCTAAGTATTAGGGCGGGGGCTTTGTAGTGCGTGCTACAAAGTGTCCTCACTTTGCTACATAAGGAAGAAAAGAATGAAGAGCGCTTAAAGGGCTCAGACTCCCTAGCCTGGCTTTGCCACGGCGTTTTACTCTATTGCTTCTTTGGAATGGAGAGTCATGGAATGTGTTCATAGAGAACGCGCAGATGACATACTCGAAGAGCTGGGCTGTAATTCACTTTTACCATTATGTCTATTTCTATGGATTTAACGGCAGTGGCGTTTGGCGGGGAAGAGAGGTAAGCCTGGAGCGTGGGGGACTCAGGGACCCGGGCAGGCGCCGCTCCAGCTCACAGCGCAGGTTTCCCGCCTCGAACCGGCCGAGGGGGCTGCCGGGGCCACAGCGACCCTCCCAGTCACGCCCTCCCGGCGCCGGGAAGGGCAGAGACCCCCTCACGAAGCGGAACTCCCAGCACCCCCGGGGGGGTAGGGGCGGGACGGGGTGGGGCCTAGCAAGGTCGGGTCCGCGCCCACTTGCCGCCGCTCACCTCCAGACTGTAGTTGCCTCTGATGGCGGTGAAGTCGTCCAGAGCCTCGGCCGCGCTCCCCTCGTCCAGGTTCAGTTCCTGGCAGAGGGCCTGCAGCACCTCCCCGGCCGCAACGACCACCGCCGCCCCCTCGGCGTGGGACTCGTCTTCAAACATCCCTTCGAGCCCAGCGGGCGGCGCGCCTCAGCGGCCCCCGGTTCCTTTCTCCCTCCCGGCGCGCCTACCCACAACGCCCCGCGGCAAAGCGCGCGAAAATCAGCCGCTTCAGACCTCCGTCCTTTTCCTCGTCTGCCTCCGCCTCCCCGCCTTCCCCCGCAAAAGAGTCCCTTTCTCCTCTGGAGTTCCCAGGAGTCCCTCCCCAGAAACGGGATCAGAAGACGCACAGATGGACCCTGGGTTCGGAGGGGACCTGGCGCTGGCCCTCGGCAAGCCTTGGGATAGGGTGAAGGTGGTGGGGAAACCCGGTTGGACGCTACGGACCACGGGCAGGGCTGGGCGGGCGGAGGGATCCGCGCCGCGCGGAGGCCGCCGGGATTGTAGTCTGGGCGCCGCCCTCTTCGCGGCCGGCCCGGGCTTTGACCCGGGACCGGGAGTGGTGCGTTCCCTCGCTCTTCCTAGTGAGATGGCTTCTTCAGCGCCCGCCCTGGGCCCTGTATGTGGTACCACCGTGGGCGTTAAACCCAGTCTGGGTCCTGCTGGCGAAGCAGGACAGTAGGGACCCTTGGTCACCTTGGGGGCTCCAGAGGCCGCAGGGAGGTACCTTTGTCAGCTCCCTGCGACTCTGGCGACTGACTCAGCGCTTCTGGTCACGTTAGGTGTAGACGTGGCCTGAGCTGCCCTGAAGCCAGAGGTTGAAAAAGGTAAATCCGAGACTGTTAACTCCGGCATTCTTCAGTAGGTGCTTCGAGTCCCAACTTAGCTCCAAACCGCTGTCCGTGGCGCTCAGGCTCCACCTCATCTACTGTATTAATCCCTCTACGTAAAGTTTTGTTGTGTTCCTAACTAGTTCTTGGGTGCCAACCTAGTGTTTGCCTCAGGGCTTTTCTCACAATTACTTGAAAAATGCTCTTTGCCAGGTCTTTGCTTGTCTGCTCTTGGTTACTGGAGTACAACTAAATGTTACCATCAGGAGGGTAAGGAAAGGCACAAAAATGGAAGAAAAGGTCAATAAATGCAGCAGTGGTACTAGTCACTGTTGAACTACACAACTTGGGACAGGAGGGGAAAACGGAGAAAGCTAGGGAAGGGGTGACATTGTCCAAAAAAAAATGTGCTCTTCACCTCGCTTATGTACCATTCCTCTGTACATCACCTTTACAATAATAATTTTTTTTTTAGAAAATCACTGGTCTCCATTTTAGTTCTATTTTTTCCTTATCCCTAACATGCCTGTTTAACAAACTGAGCTTTTTAAGTAGAAAACCAAGTGTGGGTAATGAAGTAGTTTACTATGTCTTCATTTTTAAACCAAAACACAAATGAAGGTGGTTTATTTTGATCCCATTGTGTGACTGCCTTTCTGATTAGATTCCCTTTTATTTATTTTTTTATTTTTTTGGGTCCGGTCGTGGGGCCTGAACTCTGGGCCTGGGCGCTGTCCCTCAGCTCTTCAGCTCAAGGCTAGAGCTCTACCACTTGAGCCACAGCGCCACTTCCGGCTTTTTTTCTTTTTGCTTATGTGGTGCTGAGGAATCGAACCCAGGACCTCATGCATGCAAGGCAAGTGCTCTACCACTGAGCCACCTTCCCAGCCCTAGATTCCCTTTTATAGTTTAATATTTTGAGTTCCTGTAGAGCATGTGCTTTGAGCCTAATTAATGCCTTAATAGAAATTCCAAGATCAAAATGATTGTAGTGTACATTCTCCCAAATTAATTCAAAACATAAGCAATTCTAGACCACAAAATCAGGATTAGAAAGCACAATACAGTTCTAATTATGTTTTCAAAAATGCTTATTTCATTTTTAAATCCTTTGAAAACATTTATTTTGTCATTGTCCTTCATTTTGCTATGCTCTAAGCAGGCACTTAAGTTTGCAAATGCCTCTCTTAGGGAGAACTACTCATCTAATCTGTTTAAAAAGAAAAACAGTTGATAGTTCTCAAGAAGGGGCAAGACCTGACCTCATCATTCTTACTTTTCTCTTTTTTTGTTTGTTTGTTTTTTCTTTTTTTTAATTGTGAAAATACTGTACAGAGGGGTACAATTACATGAGCAAGATAATGAGTACATTTCTTATCAAGCATTGTAGCCTCCTCCTTTGTTTCCCCTTCCCATGTTTTTTGTTTGTTTTTTTATGAGCACCAAAACAAACATTAAAAAAACCAGAAAAATAGATATCTTAGTATAAGAGGAAAAAGCAAAACTTCAAGTACAAAAAGTGAGAATCTAAAATAATAAGATACAGACAGTCATAAATAAAGATACAGTCAGTAATAAATGAGGAACAGTACATTTTAATAGTTTTGATGAAAATAAAAATCAAATGACATTCTATTGGGCTAAAGTTTCAACATAACATGACAAAATTAAATGTCCAGAAACTTGTATTTAAAAAAAATTAACAAAATCATAAACCTATCTCTGAGAAGAGTTATATAAAAACAATGGAGGTTTTTGGATTAAGTAGACTTGTTAATATCACCATTAGGTACTTCTTAGCCCTTCCCAACTGCTGAGGTAGTTCAGTAAAAATTCCTTTGTCTCTTAATGCTTCTCAATGAATTTTAACACAATAAGCATAAATAGAGTAATCATGTGCTTGCTTATCTCTACCAGTTTTGTTACTTAAAAAATAAAAATCTCCCTATAGGGAAAGGGGTTATAGCATAAAATAATCAAAAAAAGGATTTATTCAACCTCTTATGTCACTGGAGATTTAAACTGTATCCTAAACTCAGCCTCTCAAAGCACAAACCCTTTTTTGGATTTTAAGTAAATTCATCCATTTTTAAATGCAGATATTTAAAGACAAGTATATTCTAGTCACTGAAAGTTTACTTTTGCTGTGAGACTGGAATAGTGCACAAGATACCACCAATTTTACATTTTGCTCTAATTCTATTTCAGTAGTAGAGGTATATTCTGACTAAAAAACAAAATTCCCTAGCTTTTTGAAAAGAAGTGTTCAACCTTGATCTAGGAACATGGCTTAACTGGAAGAGCACCTGCCTAGCAAGTGTGAGGTCCTGAGTTCAATCCCTTTTACTGCCAAAAGTGTTCAACCCTTGCTGTTGATAAATATTTAAGGCTCACTTTACAGCAGAAATTTGTTTGGAGTATGAACTCAGCAACTGAGATCAACTGTGGTAGATCTGAACTTATTCCCTTTTGAGGGAAAGAGGCTGGAGAATAACACAGCAAGCCAACCAATCAAGAAAATGGTCTTTGTTGCCAAAATATTTGGGTCTGAATCCTGGCTTTGCGATTTACTAGTTGTGTGACCCTGATCAAGTTATTTCTATGTTTGGTTCTTCAGCTTCTCCGTCTGCAAAATAGAGATGACACATATAAAGTAGTTACAAGCTTAAAAGAGTTCATTAATTATGTATTTAGATTCGAATAGGCTCTTTATTAACACTCAGTAAAATGGTATTTTTTGACAACATTGTAAGTGAATAGTTAAAAAGTGAGAGTATAGTTGGTTACATAGGACAAGAGGACAAGAAGAAAATGACAAAGGATGCATGCAACTGAACTTCTACGTTTTGGAATGAAGTTTAGCATCTGTGACCACTGTTGGAGTTTTTTTTTGTTTTTGTTTTTGTTTTTTTTTGGTCAGTTGTGGGGCCTGAACTCGGCCTGGGCGCTGTCCCTCAGCTCTTCAGCTCAAGGCTAGCACTCAACCACTTGAGTCACAGTGCCACTTCTGGCTTTTTCTGCTATGTGGTGCTGAGGAATCAAACCCACGGCCTCCTGCATGCAAGGCAAGCACTCTACCATTGAGCCACCTTCCCAGCCCTGTGACCACTCTTAACATACTCTTTTTTAAAATTTTTTTATTTTTTTTGGCCGGTCGTGGGGCTTGAACTCTGGGCCTGAGCGCTGTCCCTCAGCTCTTCAGCTCAAGGCAAGCGCTCTACCACTTGAGCTACAGCGCCACTTTCTGTTTTCTGGTGGTTTATTGGAGATAGGAGTCTCATGGTTTCTCCTGCCTGGGTTGGCTTTGAACCGTGATCCTCAAATCTCAGCCTCCTGAGTAGCTAGGATTACAGGCGTGAGCCACCAGTGCCCGGCTTCTTAACATACTCTTATCTGTGCGCTAAGGTGAAGAGTTAATCCACCAGGCCACTACAGCCTGCCTTTTAGGCCAAAATACCTGCTGGCCCCAGAGATGAAGACCTCTGTCCTGGGCAGTGAGCCAACTGAAGTACACTGTTAGGTTACATCCTTCAAACCATGAGAAATTATGATACGTCATGGAGAGATTGGTTTCTAAGTATGTTTTAGCAGAGGCATAGGAAGGATAGAAAGGATAAGGGGAGAGCAGTAGATTGTTGGGGTGTGGGTAAATACAAATTCATACATAATATTAGGTACTCAGGAGGCTGAGATCTGAGGATTGTGCTTCAAAGCAAGCCCAGACAGGAAAGTCTGTGAGACTTATTTCCAATTAGCCACCAGAAAACTGGAAGTGGCACTATGGCTCAAAGTAGTAGAGCACTAGCCTTGGGCAAAAGTTGCTCAGGACAGCCCAGGCCCTAAGTTTAAACCCAATGATTAATACATATATATATATATATATATATATATATATATATATATATATATATATACCATTCATTATTAGATGTGTCTATTTGCCATCTGCTATTTCCTTTCTCTTTCCCATACTCCTCTTTTGTCTTGAATAGTTTAGCTCTGATTTTCTGCTGTATGTTTCTTCACCAAATATGGGCTGGGATCAAACCAATACTAAGCATTTCTAAGTAGTCCAGTGTGTCTCTCAGGGATTTCTTGCCCTTATATTTGCAGTTTGCCAAGATATTCACTTGATACAAAGTAATCTCTCTTACTCTCTTAGTTTCTTCTTAGAAGAAAATATTCTCCACCTATTTCCTTCCTTGCTTGCTTCCTTCCTTCCTTCCTTTTTTTTTTTTTTTTCCAATCCTGCAGCTTGAACTCAGGGCCTGGGCATTGTCCCTGAGCCTGTCTGTGCTCAAGGCTAGCATTCTACCACTTGAGCCACAGTGCCACTTCCAGCTTTTTCTGTTTATGTGGTACTGAGGAATCGAACCCAGGGCCTCATGCATGCTAGGCAAGCACTCTACCACTAAACCACATTCCCAGCCCTCCATGTATTTTCCACTGGGACTTTATGGATGTTCTGATACAACTCAGTGACTCATTACATTTTTTACTATATCTGAGCAATCAAACCAAGACCTGCCCTCCTCGAATTACTCTAGCCACTTAAAAGTTTAAGGGCAAATATGGTAGAGGTTAATTAAGTGGGTGGAGCTGGCATCATGATGGCATTGCCTAGTGGAAAGGGGGGCTCATTAGTTGCTTCTGTTGTTTCTGAAATAATCACTGTTACCTGATGTTGCTTGTTTTGCATTTCTAGGTAGGGAGACAGCCCAGAAGTTTCCTCAACCAGCAAACTGTCTGCTCAGGCTCCAGTTCTCCTACCCTCTGGACTCGGAACAGAGCCTGGGAGGCAATGAGGCGCAGAGAGGGCTCAGGGTCTTGCAGCAGGTCTTTCAGAACTACATAATAAGAAATGGAGATTGGAGGTGAAAGCCTTTCAGGTCTCTGGAAATGAGCATTCTAGACCTCCCATAGAGATCACTTTTTAATAGTTGAGATGAGGGTCTAATGAACTTTTTGCTTGTGATTGCCTTAAAGTACAATAGTCCCTATCTCAGCTCCCAAGTAGGTAGCATTACAGATGTGAGCCATACCACCCAGCTTTCTGACCTTTCTTAAAATTTAACCTCTACTGTGTTTCACTGGGTAAGATGTAGTGAACTATTCTGGTTCATAAAGTAATGATTTTGGATTGTGAGACTTAGCATTTCATTTCATGACATTTTCTAACTGTAAAATGCCTTAAGTGAGAATAATAATTATTTGAGTGCTGACTCTGTAGAGCTCTGCAATTAAAGGAATTTTTCACTCCCAGACAATTCTGAAAACATGATTGTAAAAGAACTCTTTTAGTAAGTACATATAGCATATAGCTCAGTGATCTCTATGGTACTTGTAAGGTAGCATTGCAATTTTTAAAAACAGTATTTTTGGACAATGAGTTATTTCCTGACAAACTTTAAGAACTGTCTTTGAGACATTCACTTAAAGTAATTGGACTGAGACGAGATTGGCCTTTAGCTAAAGTTACCAAAGGTTTTATTGTTGCGTAAGTCAGGGTTTAGGGGTGCCAGAGTCTCAGTAGATGCCTAGTCACTGCCTCAGATACCTTCCAAAGTACAGGTGCCTTTCAAAACCAAGGAAATCATCACTTACCATTCTCTATCCATTCAGTACCCCTAATCCTGAGCTCACTGCGATCCATGAACTTTGATAAAAGCCCTAAATGCAGGATAAGGTCAATGAGTCTATGATTCCGCTTTTGCTGTTAAAAATTAAAACTTGAGTATTTAGTCATTTAAAAAAAAATGAGGCAGTTGGCTAAGTTGGCTTTAAGTAAGTAGGCAGGTTCCAAAACTGACTTCCAACTTCATGATAATTATTTATATATAACATAGCCCCTTTCTCCTAGAAGTGTTTTCCAGGTTTGCTTTGTTAATTATGTGATACTTGGCCTGGGAATGTGGCTTAGTGGTAGAATGCTTGCCTAGCATGCATGAAGCCATGGATTCAATTATTCAGTACCACATAAACAGAAAAGGCCAAAGTAGCACTGTGGTTCAAGTAGTAGAGCCATAGCCTGGAGCACAAAGAGGCTCAAGAACAGTGCCCAGGCCCTGGGTTCAAGCTCCAGGACTGGCCAAAAAAAAAAGGGGAGGGGACTACTCAACAACACAATTAGACAAAATATAGGATAGAAGTGACTAGAAATGAAAGGATTTTTTTTGTACCTACAAATAAGACTGCTGCTCTTCTGATAGGAAGTTTTGCATTCTTGGAGTACATCAATGTTTGGGCTAGGATGTTAATTTTCCCTTGGCATTTTTTTCCCTAAGGGAGGAAAAACGGGAGTATAAGGCAATGAGGTAGTAGCATTATGTTGATCAGCCTCACCATCATTTTTCAGGGTACCTCATGCATAGGATGGGAGAACAGGAATTTAATTTCATAGTGCTTATGACTTAACATGGACAGCTTATACTCTTATCCATTACAAGCACACATTTCCTGGTAGAAGTATTGTTATCAGTGTCATCAGTGCATCAAATACAGGTTTTCTACAGCACAGAAAAATAATCTCTAATGGAAAGCCAGACACCAGGACACCGTGAACTTCCTATCCTGGAAAGTGTGCTCAGAGACCACTTGGGTCCTACACAGGCCAGACATACAGAAGAATTCTAGGAATAGTCAGCTTCAGGGGTTTCCTAGGAGGATCCAGATGGTTCTGTGGTCCGTTTCTAGAAAATTATAGGTGCATATCCTATGTTGTGAGGAGAAAAGATGCCATCTGGATCTTGGCAGATTTTGGCTGCTGCCCAGCCCACAGCATAACACCTTTGCTTGGGGGCCATTAAACATGCTCTGATGGAAAGAAGAAAGTCAATCCATTCTATTAAGGAAATTATTAGAGATAATTATAAAGGCAACTCAAGTCCATTTCAGTTCAACCCACATGTAGCCTCTGGCCCAAGTTAGTAAAGCCCTAAGAATTTACCATTCTTCTCTATGAGGAAAGCAGCAGGGATTGGGCTAAGTAGAATATGAATTTGTGAGTCTATTGAGAGGGGACTATAGAAAACATAGTTACAGAATACAAAGCAGTTCACTGCTAGTGTGAAGAGGGATGGGAAATGTCTCCTGTTTTCCATGTTCCTCCATTAAAAACTATGTCAGAAAAAAAATGAAAAACAAGTATGTCAGCATGTTAGAGAATTAAAGCCATTATTTCTCACAAAGAAGTTGCAGATTGTCTCAACTTCATCAGGCTTTATGTACAAGGGGTCTTCACAGTACACTTCTTGGGGAAGCTTCCACTTCAGGAACTGGGCACATATAGTTAAGACTTGCCTGCTCTCCTGTGAAAAAAAAGATCATCATAGATCAACACTTTCAAACATGTTTTAGCTGAGGTGCCCTTTCTTCAATAAAACCCAAGTATCATGGGAAAAGCCTATAAGCTAAGAATTACCCTGTTGAAGTGAGGGGAGGGAAGGAACCAGAATCTTACCTAAATAAGACCCTATGGAGATCCATGAGCCCTGCAGGGTTCTGGAGAGGACATAGAAACTACTAGTCGCAAAAGGGAGAAGTATCAGATGTGGTCCCAGACCAAGGATATGGGTAGAGTCCCTCTTTCCCAGGCTCTAGATACAGGGCTCCCAGCCCTAGTTGTTGCTCCCATGCTATTTTTCTCTGACTCTTCACAGGTAAGTGCACCTTCTAATTTCGTATCATTCTTGGGGTATCTCTGGGTTGAAGAACTCTAGTGTTGACCTTCTTGATTTGAGATACTAAAGCAAAGCTGAAGAAGTGGTCCCCTTTCTGTGGTTTATTGCTCTCACAATGTGGCTCATGTATATTCAACACCACTGATGAGTTGCTACACAAGTATTTTATCTCAGGCACATGAGACTTTTGGACCATAAAATTTGTTTTGGGCCAGGCGCCGGTGGCTCACGCCTGTAATCCTAGCTACTCAGGAGGCTGAGATCTGAGGATCTCGGTTCAAAGCCAGCCCAGGCAGCAAAGTCCATGGAACTCATCCCCAATAAACACTCAGAAAACTGGATGTGGCACTGGAGCTCAAGTGGTAGAGCGCTCACCTTGAGCTGAAGAGCTGAGGGACAGTGCTCAGGCCCAGAGTTCAAGCCCCATAACCAACAACAACAAAAAAAATTGCTTTGGGGCTGGGTGTCAGTGGGTCACACCCTATAATCCTAGCTACTCAGGAGGCTGAGATCTGCGGATCACGGTTCAAAGCCAGCCTGAGCAGGAAAGTCCAAGAGACTCATCTCCAATAAACCACTAGAAAACCGGAAGTGGTGCTGTGGCTCAACTGGTAGAGCACTTGCCTTGAGCTGAAGAGCTGAGGGACAGCTCCCAGGCCCAGAGTTCAAGTCCCATAACTGACAAAATAAATAAAGTAATAAATTGTTAAACAAGTAGATGAACAATTTTTTTTCACTATTTGTTTTTTTTTTTTTTTGGTCGGCCGTGGGGCTTGAACTCTGGGCCTGGGCGCTGTCCCTCAGCTCTTCAGCTCAAGGCCAGCGCTCTACCACTTGAGCTACAGCGCCACTTCCGGTTTTCTGGTGGTTTATTGGAGATAGGAGTCTCACGGTCTCTCCTGCCCGGGCTGACTTTGAACTGTGATCCTCAGATCTCCTGAGTAGCTAGGATTATAGGCGTGAGCCACCAGCACCCGGCTACAATTTGTAAATGTCTAGTAAAGCTAAAACTATTCAGAAATTCAACTGTAGGGCTATGCCCTTAATAAGAACTCACACATGTGCCTAGGGAAATGTGTACATGAATGTTCATTACAGCATTGTAATAATACAAAACTGAACATTAAATATTCCCATCACACCAAATTTTGCTTGACATTCTTGTGGGTTTTTTTTTTTTTTGGGTCCAGTCGTGGGGCCTGAACTCTGGGCCTGGGCGCTGTCCCTCAGCTCTTCAGCTCAAGGCTAGCGCTCTACCACTTGAGCCATAGCACCACTTCTGGCTTTTTTCTTTTTGCTTATGTGGTGCTGAGGAATCGAACCCAGGGCCTCAGGCATGCAAGGCAAGCGCTCTACCACTGAGCCACCTTCCCAGCCCCTCTTGTGTTAATATAAGGTCCACCCTGGGAAGGAGGGGCAGACTCCTCCCCTCTCTTGGCTAAGTTTATGAGTAGTACCTGTGTCACCTAGGTAACTACACACCTGGAAGTAGTCACCTCCCTCTCCCCCGAGGTCACATCCCGTCACACTTCCCATCGCTCGGTAGACGGGTCCCAGTCCTTGAGGTCACATTTGTATCCATTGGCCAAAACTCCCCCACTTGGCCATAACATCTCCCCACCCTTGGCCTAAATAAGTCCTGGCTCAGAGATGGGTCACCCCTTGCAGCCATGGGTGGACCTTACAATTATTATTTTTTATGTCTTAAGACCTTCTATGTTGTGTCATTGGTACATCTTCAGCATCTTGCTTTTTTCTCGTTTTTTCTTTTTGTTGGTCGTGGGGCTTGAACTCAGGACTTGAGTGCTATACCTGAGCTTTTTTGTTCAAGGCTAGCACTCTACCAACTTGGAGCCACAGTGCTAATTCTGGTTTTCTGGTGGTTAACTGGAGATGAGAGTCTCACAAACTTTTCCTGCCCAGGTTGGCTTTGAATTGCAATCCTCAGATGGCATTCTCCTGAGTAGCTAGGATTACAGGTGTGAGCCACCAATGCCCGGCTTTGCTTTTTCCTTGTTTAACATATTTATCTATCATGTAGTGTAGCTCTAAATCACTTATTTTCATTACTATATGGAATTTCACCATATAATTAACATATAATTATGTTATGTTTTCTGTTTGACTCCTTAAGACATTGATTGCTTAAGACTACCCTCTGAAGACCCTGGAGGTGGCTAGAGGTAGTTCAGAGTTTGTAGGGAAATAACCTAGAGCTTTGGCTGCCGTAGGATTTGCCTGATTGCCAAGGTCTGGAAAAAATATAAGTGGGGATATATGAATACTTCCACATAGCTATAAACCCTGCGTTACATGCTTGGAAAGCTCTGTTCAATACTTGATGGAGATCTGAAATTTTTTTTTTTTGGGTCCCGTCGTGGGGCCTGAACTCTGGGCCTGGGCACTGTCCCTTAACTCTTCAGCTCAAGGCTAGCACTCTACCACAGCGCCACTTCTAGCTTTTTTTTTTTTTCCTGCTTATGTGGTGCTGAGGAATCAAACCCAGGGCCTCATGCATACAAGGCAAGCACTCTACCACTGAGCCACCTTCCCAGCCCCTGAAATGTTTTTTACTTACAGCTCTAGAGCCACAAACCTTTCCCTACAACAAGTTACCAAGAACCACTCTTAATCTGAATTTAAAATCTTGACTTTCATTTTAGTAAGGGTACAAGAAGGCAAGAGCTCCAGTATTCTTCTAGAATATCTATGGTCTAAACTTTCCTTTCCAGGATACTGTAATTGGTAGTTATGGCATGTTGGACTGAGGCTGAATGTGACAGATGGTAACATTTCAGCCTTCCACCTTCTACCAAATTAAGACTAGGAAGGCTTAAATGGAAAACCTTAGCAAAAAACCCATGAAGATTTAGGGGAGAGAAAGTCTTCTCAAGAGTAGTAATAGCTGGGCGTCAGTGGCTCAGGCCTATAATCCTAGCTACTCAGGAGGCCGAGATCTGAGGATCAAAGTTCAAAGCCAGCCCAGGCAGCAAAGTCCATGAGACTCTTATCTCCAATAAACTACCAGAAACCAGAAGTGCTGGGGCTCAAGTGGTGGAGCACTTGCCTTGAGTTGAAGAGCTGAGGGACGGCACCTAGGCCCAGAGTTCAATCCTCACGACTGACCAAAAACAGAAAAAAAAAGAGTAGCTTCTCTGACCATCAACCCCAATGCAAGTTGTCTCAAAGCCATGAGGTAGTCTTTGAAGTGAAAGAAGAAGAGTATTTGTCATCAGTAGAGTTTGTTGAGGTAGGCACTATAGGTAGGGCTGGGTGGTAGGTTGAGTATGATGGTAAGTCCTCAAAGAGGACTGATACATAGCTCTAACTACAAAGGGCCAAAATTCTTGCCGGGTGCTGGTGGCTCACACCTGTAATCCTAGCTACTCAGGAGGCTGAGATCTGAGGATGGCAGTTCAAAGCCAGCCCAAGCAGCAAAGTCCGTGAATTTGTTATCTCCAGTAAATCACTCAGAAAACCAGAAGTGGTCTGTGGCTCAAGTGGTAGAGTGCTAGCCTTGAGCTGAAGAGTTGAGGGTCAGTGCCCAAGCCCAGAGTTCAAGCCCCATGAATGAAAAGAAATTAGGGGCAAAATTTTATACAGTTCTCTTAAGCAAAATAATGAAAAGATAGCCCTGTGCCAAAGGATAATGGAACATGGAACAAGATGGTACTACTATGTCCCACCCCTCAAAGATAGAACACTAATTTTCAAAGGTGGGTCTGAGTTTAGAGTTATTTGGGGCTGAAGTGTTAAGAATTATTTGGGGATGAAAGCAGTAGTCAGCAGGTATCACCTGAGCTATGGCATCATTTTCATCCTGAGAATACAGCAGTAGTGGGACCAGGCTTTCCAGGACTTGTTTCTCTGCATTCTTCTTATATGTGTGTTTCACAGACTTTATAGAGGCTCCAAAGAGGGTCATGGAGAAACGATGAACATCCGGTCTCAGCTATCAAGAGAGTATCCACAAAGTTGGAGCTCACTAATCACATTCATGCTCAGTTTATTAGAACTCTAGGTGAGTTAACTACTTAGCTACATGTAGTTGAGGACAAGAAACCAAATATTTATCGAGGCAGCAAAATCTGCTATTTGGGACTTTATAAATAAGAAATGGTCATTGTCACACACCTGTCATTGCTTAAGCTTAATGGTATTAATGACTAATAAAGATATTAAGTGTTCACACAAGTTCTTTTGCTGAAATTCAAAATTCTAATCTTGGCATGTTTTACTTCTTCAAATATGCCGCTCATTATGCTCTATGTATTTATTTTTCAAAAGTCTTTGGGATTTGGGACAAGTACATGAGTATGTTCTCAACTGTTCCTTGAGAGCAAAGACAGTTTTCTCTTCTATATTCTCCCCTCCCACAAAGTGGAGTAATGCCTTAGTAAGTTTCCATGCCTCAAGCTGCTGCTTCATTTTTTTTTTTTTTCTTCCCCAGTCCTGGGGCTTGAGGGGCCTGGGCACTGTCCCTAAGCTTCTTTTGCTGTTTATGTGGTACTGAGGAATGAAACCTATGGCTTCATGCATGCTAGGCAAGCACTCTACCGCTAAGCCACCCTCAAGCTTTTTTTTTTTTTTTGTCGGTCATGGGGCTTGAACTCTGGGCCTGGGCGCTGTCCCTCAGCTCTTCAGCTCAAGGCGAGCGCTCTACCACTTGAGCTACAGCGCCACTTCCGGTTTTCTAGTGGTTTATTGGAGATAGGAGTCTCACGGTCTTTCCCTGCCCGGGCTGGCTTTGAACCGCAATTCTCAGATCTCAGCCTCCTGAGTAGCTAGGATTACAGGTGTGAGCCACCGGCGCCCGGCCCTCAAGCTTCTTTTTTATCTGAAAACTAACAATAACACCAGCCATACCAACATGATAGATTGCCTGGAAAGATATGTTTTGTGGTTGGTTTGGGTTTTTTGTGTGTGTATGCTGAGGTTTAAGCTCAGGCGTTCATATTTACAAGACAGGCACTCTTACTACTGAGCCACACCTTTTGCCCTTTTCTGTGGTGTTTATTCTTGAGATAGAATCTTGTTTCCTGTCTGATTGTGAGCTTCCTGTCATAGCTAGGATAATAAATGTACCTCTTGGTTAAGAAGGAGTTTCATGCACTTTTATGCCTGAATAGGCCTGAACCACAACCCTCCCATCTCAGTCTCCTTGGTAGTTAGGATTACAGGAAGGGTTTTGAGATAGAATATTTGGAGGTGCTCCCAAAGTAAAAAAACTTTTATAATATAGAATATACTTATTATTATTCCAATTTCCCCATCCCCCCTAAGGAAGTATCTCCTCTCTCATTGTCATACATCACCAAATAAGGAAAACAGGGTCCTCATCATGGCATCCAGGGTAGTGAAATCCATTTTCTGGACAAGCTGCAGGAGTATCTGGATGGTCAACAAAACAATCCTCTCATCGGCTTCACATAGGCTATCTAAGAGACAGGGCAGCAGGTTCTTGATGTTTTCCCCCTGTGTGTCCAAAGACAGCACATGAGCACCTTTCCTGGAAGCATATCATCAAATCCCAAAAGGAAAACTTCTACACTTCCTCTGTACCTAGTGCAGGCTGGATTTCTAGGAACTCTGGATAGTCCAAGGCAGAGAAGTAAAGAGGACATAATTACCCTCAATATTATATATGTAGGGGAGAGGGAAGAGCTGCTGTGAGGGGAGTTCACAAGACACAAGTAGGATCAAGTAAGGGACAGCCAGGGATATGGACTTCATTTTGCTATAAGAAAGGTGTGGGGGAGTGGGGGTGGGGGTGGGGAGGGTGGGGGGGAGTGTAGTTGTGGAGATGGGAGGGAAGGGATGGTAGGGGAAAAACAAAGGAAGGCAAGAATGCTTGATAAGAAATGTACTCATTACCTTGCTCATGTGATTGTAATCCCTCTGTCCAGTATTTTCACAAAAAAATATTAAAAAAAGAAAGAAAAAGTATAGAAAAAGGAATGGCCAACTCTGGTCACAGGTACTTAGTATGAAATGTATCCAGAGACTTTAAAGTTTGATTGAGGAACTTTAAAAGTCCTTCCCGCCTGGCACCGGTAGCTCACGCCTGTAATCCTAGCTATGCAGGAGGCTGAGAGCTGAGGATCTCGGTTCAAAGCCAGCCCAGGCGGGAAAGTCTGTGAGACTCTTATCTCCAATTAACCACTAGAAAACGGGAAGTGGCACTGTGGCTCAAGTGGTAGAGCTCTCTCCTTGAGCTGAAGAGTGCAGGGACACTGCCCAGGCCCAGAGTTCAAGACCCATGACTGACCAAAAGAAAAAAAAAAGTCCTTCCCATACTGAAACTGAGATTCTGCTCTTCTGAAATGCCAAAAAGGTAGGAGTCTTATGGTTTTTTTGTTGTTTTTTTTTTATTGTGAAAATACTGTACAGAGAGGTTACAATTACATGGGCAAGATAATGAGTACATTTCTTATCAAGCATTGTAGCCTCCTCCTTTGTTTCCCCTTCCCATCCCTTCCCATCCTCCCGCCCCAACCCAATCCTCCCCGCGGGGGGCCCCCCTCCCCCCCACCAAAGTTGTAAAGTTCATTTTCGACATAACAACTTGTACATCTCATTGTTGCAATGGGTCCACCTGTATCCCTATTTAAACGATTTGTTTTTCCCCTTCCCCTCCACAAATTATACCAACATCAAATACAGTGAAAGCAGTCTTATGGTTTTTAAACATATCCAAGTTGGCTGTAGGAGTTTACTCCTATAATCCCAGAAGAGAATCATGAGTTCCAGTCTAGACTGGGCTACATAGGGAATATCAAACTGGGCTATATAATGAGACCCTTTCTCCAAAATAAAATAACACACACTCCTTTGTGTATATGTGTATATATATATATATATATACACACACATATATAAGTAGAATATGTATATATATTCATATAAGTGGAATAAGGCAACAGATATGCATATATACAATCAGCCAAATTTAATATAACTAATACTTAATAATTAATATATGAACTACTATTTGTCATTTGGGCTTCTAATATACCAAATTTATTTATTTATTTTTGGTCAATGGTAGGGCTTGAACTTAGTGCGTGGGCATTATCCTTAAGGTATTTTCTTAAAGGTGAACAATCTACCACTCGGAGCCATAGCTCCACTTTCAGTTTTTAGGTGATTAATTGGAGATTAAGAGTCTCACGGACTTTCCTGCCCAGGCTGGCTTTGAACCATGTTCCTCGGATCTCAGCCTCCTGAGTAGCTAGGATTACAGGCGCGAGCCACCGGCATCCAGTTTGCAGCCACAATTTTTTTTTTTCTTGCTAGTACTGGGGCTTAAACTTATGGCCTGGGCACTATCCCTAAGCTGCTTTTACTCAACAGCTAGCACTCTAACACCTGAGCCACAGTACCACTTCTGGCTTTTTCTGTTTATGTGGTACTGAAGAATTGAACCCAGGCTTCATGCATTCTAGGCAAGCACTCCACCACTAAGCCAACTTCCCAGCCCTACAGCCACAAATTTTTAAGTAAAAGAAATAGAGTTCAAGTGACAAAACTGAAGCCTCAGGGATTACTGCTTTCTTCTTGACAGACCTGGTTTTCTAGGAAGACCTCTTCTACATGGATACCAGTGATCTGTCTTAGATAATAAGCATTTTGGAGCATCCAAGTTGGGTAATATAGTACAAGGGGACACCATAACAAGTAAATCTCCTGCACAAGTTAGAGATTTCAAATATGGTAAATATTTGTGTCTTGAACTTTGAAAATATTTAATTTTTAATAGCACTTGCATATTTTCAAGGTAAAACTTCCAATGCACAAAAGGATGCACAGTGAAAAAAAGACCTCTCCCATCCACCCCTGTCCCCTGGCTACCCAATTCTCCTCTTCAGCTATTTAAAGTTCTTGGGTATCTGGGGTATTCCCTTTGTGATTTAGGAATCAGTTACCATTTCTTTGTGCCTGAGAAGGTTGAACAGTCCTCTTAAGGCAAGAATTCTAAAGGCATTGTTTCCATGACACAACCAGTCTTTCAAGCGGGCAGTAGAGTACATGCTTGGCAGTCTTCTAGCCACTGGACTCTGGAGGAGCTGAAAGAGCCAGAAACCAACCAAACAGATGAGCTGGAAGCCCTCTTTCCATGAAGAGAGCTACCCACTAGCTCTAGATTTTCCCCTTGAAACCTATAATACAACACATATACAGTACAGGTGATTATTATGTTGCAAGTACACAAGGAATATTGTTGAGTAATATTGTTGAGTAATGAGAATAGAGAAAGAATTTCAAAGCCAGGTGCCGGTGGCTCACACCTGTAATCCTAGGTACTCAGGAGGTAGAGATCTGAGGGTCATGGTTCAAAGCCAGCCTGGGCAGGAAAGGCCGGGAGACTCTTATCTCCAATAAACCAGAAAACCAGAAGTGGTGCGTGGCTCAAGTGGTAGAGCACTTGCCTTGAGCTGAAGAGCTGAGGGACAGCACCCAGGCCCAGAGTTCAAACCCCACAACTGACGAGAGAGAGAGAGAGAGAGAGAGAGAGAGAGGGAGAGAATTTCAATAGGTTTGAGTCTGACAAATATGTCTGCTACATGTTTGAAATGGACCCCATTCTGACACTAGGCTGGACACACTAGGAAGCAGGTTCTACTGGTTCAGAGACTTCCAACCACATCTAGAGATGAGTCTTACCTCCACAAAGAAGGCTGCAGCTGTTAGTTTATGTTTCTTATTCCCTCGGTTAAGAAGCGGGACTAACAAGTACAAGATCCTATGTGCTAGAAGGTGATTTCTTTCCAGCAAGGCACTACAAAACAAAGCATCAATGTTACTCTCACATGCTTCATTGGATGGAATTTTCTCAGGGTAGATACCCTCTGAAGTTAGTGGCCAGGAGGGTGTGTCAAGGGCTAGGACATTTAGAAACTTTTGCCTAGCATTGTGGACATCATTGGTATTCTCTTATGAACTTGGTGAGTTCTCACAGCTTTAGTTGCTGTGATCATTAAAAGGAAGAGAAAAAATACAATGCTGATCTGGGGCAGGTGACAAGGAAGCCTTACTTGGCAAGGAGAAATACTCCCTGAAGATGGCAGTCTCCTTTCAAAAGCGTCCATCCATTATTTTTTTCCATAATGTTGAATTCCTGCCAGCACATTGTTCTGAGGAGAAGGGTCTTTGTAGCCTGCATGGCAAAGCTAAGTCACATAAAAATAACATGGGTGAGCAGAATAAGGGACACTAACTTGCAAATACCCAAGAACTCTACTCTTGTTGGAGAGAGCCATGCATTGACAACTGCTGGATGGTAATTTTCCCTTTTCCAGATTTCCAAAAGACTTTTAATATTCTGATAACTTGAAAGACACTTTACAAAAATTATCAACAGGGGCTGGGAAGGTGGCTCAGTGGTAGAACGCTTGCCTTGCATGCCTGAGGCCCTGGGCTCGATTCCTCAGCACCATATAAGAAAAAAGCCGGAAGTGGCGCTGTGGCTCAAGTGGTAGAGCGCTAGCCTTGAGCTGAAGAGCTGAGGGACAGCGCCCAGGCCCAGAGTTCAGGCCCCACGACCGGATAAAAAAAAAAAAACAAGAAACAAAAAAAAATTATCAACATAGAGAATTCTAACTAGATGTCATTTCCCCAAGAGTTTGGAAGGGAATGATTCAATAAATGGTCTAAGATGCTAAACAGATGCCTACTGCTTAAAAAAATCTTTACTGAGATACAATTTTACTCCTAAAATATATGCCCACAGCTTTTGAAAATTACTTATTGAACTAGACATAGCCTCAGAGAACTCCTAAAGTTGTAAGAGCTCTTACAGATTTCCTTTCTTAAGACTCTTCATTTATAAGTAAGAAAGTACGCCGGGCGCTGGTGGCTCACGCCTGTAATCCTAGCTACTCAGGAGGCTGAGATCTGAGGATCAAGGTTCAAAGCCAGCCTGGGCAGGAGAGACCGTGAGACTCCTATTTCCAATAAAACCACCAGAAAACTGGAAGTGGCGCTGTAGCTCAAGTGGTAGAGCGCTCGCCTTGAGCTGAAGAGCTGAGGGACAGCACCCAGACCCAGAGTTCAAGCCCCACGACCGACAAAAAAAAAAAAAGTAAGAAAGTAGGCATAGAACAGATTTTTTTCAGGGGCAAGTTCATTAAATGAATGAATGAGAACCCAAGTCTAATGACTCTTTGGTATTAATTATTTCATATAGTACCATTTCCTTTGAAAGAAATCTACATACTAAGGTAGCATTGAGACCCTAATGGTGATTTGAAAATATATCTCTTCATGCAATAAAGCAGAAATGAGTAATCATTCCATTGGATAAATACTAATTTGGGGATAGTTTTAAGCTATTTTTCTTGTGTTTTTCTCTATTAACAGCAACAACAAAGACTGTCATAGTATCACATTTATTTTGCAGGGCATCTGAACCCAGATAGCTAAATTTCCCTTGGTACCAAGAAAACGAAAAGCAGTCATTGAAAACCCAGAATGGTTCCTGAGCATGTCATCCTGATGTCTCATAAGGGTTTGGGACAGTTAGAGACATGATCCCTTAGAATTGGGACCACATCTTGGCTATCCTTATGTTCTAGTTTGGCTTAATACTTGTTAAAGTCAGAGAAATTGCAATGGACAGTACCTCAAAGGTATGATGTCTGTTGACATTTCCTGTTCTGCATACAGGCCTTTAGGGATGGAGATATCAGACATGGTGAGGCCAATGCTATGGTGGATCTGGATGAGCAGGGTCATGAGAAGCTGAGGGAAGAGTCGGAAGGTAGCTGCTCGCAGCTTGTTTCCCACAAACACCTCATAGAGGGCATTTGTCACCTGTGATAGAAGGCACAGAACAGAACTGTAGGGTTGGTGGCCCTAATCCTTTGTTTCTGTTTGTTCCAGAACACACTTTCTAGTTCTACTATCCCATAAACAGAAAATTAGTGGTAATCAGTATAGGGACCTGGAAAGGTGATGGAATAGGAATAGAGTGGTAATTAAAAGTGGGCTAGGGTCAGCCGGGCGCTGGTGGCTCACGCCTGTAATCCTAGCTACTCAGGAGGCTGAGATCTGAGGATCGCGGTTCAAAGCCAGCCCGGGCAAGAAAGACTGTGAAACTCCTATCTCCAATAAACCACTAGAAAACCGGAAGTGGCGCTGTAGCTCAAGTGGTAGAGCGCTTGCCTTGAGCTGAAGAGCTGAGGGACAGTGCTCAGGCCCAGAGTTCAAGCCCCATGACGGACAAAAAAAATAAAATAAAATAAAAGTGGGCTAGGGGCTGGGAAGGCGGCTCAGTGGTAGAGCGCTTGCCTTGCATGCCTGAGGCCCTGGGTTCCATTCCTCCGCATAAGCAAAAAGAAAAAAAAAAGCTGGAAGTGGCGCTGTGGCTTAAGTGGTAGAGTGCTCACCTTAAGCTGAAGAGCTGAGGGACAGCGCCTAGGCCCAGAGTTCAGGCCCCACGACCGGACCCCCCCCCCCCAAAAAAAAAGCTCCTGTAACTGCAAAAATAAACAAATGAATACAATTACTAAAAAAAAAGTGGGCTAGATGTAGCTTAGAGGTAGAGCCTAAAATACACAGGACCTGTTTTCAATATTCAGAACTGACAAAAAGAAAAGTTTACCAGTGGTGATCTGCATGTAATAATTATAAAGGAAGCTATTAACACACTCGACTACATAAAAATAAAAAGCCACACTAAAAGTTATCATAAAGTTGGGTAATGAATAATAACCCAAAGAACTATCTGTATCAATGTGTTAATAAAATGCTCATATATATGAGTAACATACAGCAGCACTGCCATTACCTAGGAGATGGTTAGGAATGGGGAGTCTTCAGCCCCACCTCAGATTTTACCAAGATTCTAAGGTCACTCTGTGTGCACATGAAATTTGAGAAGCACTGGTATACAGGATATGAAAAGACAAGTCACAAAGGAGAACTAAAAAATGGCCAATCAAAAAACCATATGCGGACTGGGAAGGTGGCTCAGTGGTAGAGCGCTTGCCTTGCATGCCTGAGGCCCTGGGTTCAATTCCTCAGCACCACATAAGCAAAAAGAAAAAAGCCGGAAGTGGCACTGTGGCTCAAGTGGTAGAGCGCTAGCCTTGAGCTGAAGAGCTGAGGGACAGCGCCCAGGCCCAGAGTTCAGGCCCCATGACCGGACCCAAAAAAACCAACAACAACAACAACAAAAAACCATATGCTCTGGGCACTGGTGGCTGCTTACATCTGTAATCCTAGCTACTCAGGAGGCTGAGATCTGAGAATCACAGTGTGAAGCCAACCTGGGCTGGAAAATCCACAAGAATCTTATTGCCAATTAGCCATTAGAAAACTGGAAGTGGTACTGTGGCTCAAGGTGGTAGAGTACTAGCCTTGAGTGAAAAAGCTCAAGGACAGTGCGCAGGCCCTGAGTTCAAGCCCCACAACTGATAAAAACAAAAACCAACCAACCAACCAACCAAAACAAACATACGCAAACAAAACTATAATGAAAATGTTCCATTTTCTTTTTTTTTTGGGTCTGGTCGTGGGGCCTGAACTCTGGGCCTGAGCACTGTCCCTCAGCTCTTCAGCTCAAGGCTAGCGCTCTACCACTTGAGCCACAGCGCCACTTCCGGCTTTTTTCTTTTTTCTTATGTGGTGCTGAGGAATCGAAGCCAGGGCCTCAGGCATGCAAGGCAAGCGCTCTACCACTGAGCCACCTTCCCAGCCCCCATTTTCTTTTTTTGGGGAGGAAATGTTTCATTTTCTTAAAAACCTAACAGCAAGGCATCAATGAGGGCTACAATCACACACAACAGGCACCTTGACACATACCTAAAGAAAGAGCAGCTTTCTGGAGGACAATGACTTAAACTTTAAATATACACATTGTTGGACCCAGTGGGCTTTAGGTATATATGATAACATTATGATTAAACTTTCTGTAGCACTGTTTTAATGGGCAAAAGTTTGAAACTGTCAAAATGTTTGCTTAATAGGAAACTTAATAGTTAAAAATGATTTTGAGCTACTGGGCTTGTTATACACCTGTAATCGCAGCTGAGAGGTAGAATGAGGAGGATCCATGAGTTTCAAGCCAGCCAAGGCAAAGTTAGCAAAAAAAAATCAAAACATAAAACAAACTCCCCCACAAAACGGAGGGGTTGGCTCAAGTGGCAGAATGCCTCCCCACAAAATGGTATCATAGCTGGGCGCTGGTGGCTCATGCCTGTAATCCTAGCTACTCAGGAGGCTGAGATCTGAGGATCATGGTTCAAAGCCAGCCTGGGCAGAAAAGTCCATTAGACTCTGATCTCCAGTAAACCAGTAGAAAAACCAGAAGTGGCACTGTGGCTTAAGAGGTAGAGCAATCGCTTTGAGCAGAAGAGTATAGGGACAGCGCCCAGGCCCAGAATTCAAGCCCCATGACCAACAAAACAAAAACAAAAAACAAAATGGTATCATATTTGGTTAGTCCCAGCTACTTGGATAGCTAAGGCAAAAGGCTCACTTTGAACCCAGGAGGTCAAGGTCAGTGATGGTAACATAGTGAGATGTTTTAAAAAAAAATCTCACCCCCTCCCCAGAATAACAAAAAAAAATTTGTATCTTGTAAGATTTTTTTAAAGGTAATTAAAAATAAATAAAAATAAAGGTAATAAAAAATAAATGGTGGCACATGCCTATAATCCCAGCACTAGGGAACTGGAGTCAGTAGGATCATATGTTTGAGGCCCACCTAGGCTACACACATAGGTCTCAGCCATGGAATTATACAGCTATGTAAAGGATAGAAAAGAACCTTGTATGCTGGTATGGAAAGCAGTTTACACATTGTTAGATGAATATAGAGGCATGTCATCAAACAGTATATGTAGAATGATTTAAAAGTAGCCTTATTTGCCCTAAATTCTGAAACTATACTGCTCAATACTTTTTTTTTTGGTTGTGGGGCTTGAACTCTGGGCCTGGACGCTGTCCCTCAGCTCTTCAGCTCAAGGTGAGTGCTCTACCACTTGAGCCACAGCGCCACTTCTTCTGAAACTATACATAGACATTATAAGGATTTTTTAAAAGTCTGTAAGAACAGAGAATGGGAAAGAAGACAATAGTTGACTAGGTATTGACAGATTTTTTTTGAGGGGGGAGAGTTGTAATAATAAGTTAGCTGATTAAGATGGCACACACTCTAATTGCAGCTCTTAGGAGGCTGTGGCAGGATTGCCAGTTCAAAGCAGGTCTGAGCTTCATAGTGAATTCAAAGTCAGCCTGAGCTATATAGCAAGATTTGTTTAAAAAAAACTCAAGGCTGGGGATGTAGCTCAATAATAAAGCACCTGTCTAGGATGAACAATGCCCTAGGTCCAATCCCCTGTACTGCAAAAGAAAGAAAAACTTAAGAGCCATAAAATGGTAGGGAGAAAAGTAGAAAGTATAAATTTTGAGTATATCAGTTCCCTCAGGTACATTGCCAGTGTATGGAAGTACATTTACCTTTGGCTTATTTATATTATGTATTGAGATCTTGTTAAACTCACATATTAGGTTTAAGTTTTTTTCTTGACAGATTTCTAGATTTCTTAGTATTTTTTCAACTAGATAATTATGTCACCTTAAAATAGGTCCAGTTACTTTCTTGTTTTTACAATATATATGCATTTTTATTCCTTTTCCTTCTTTAATTGCATGAGCTGGAACATCTAAAATGATACTGGGTTAAGAATGATGAGAGCCTTGTTTTTGACTTTAGGAGGAAAGAATTCATTCTATTACCTTTAAGAATTTTATTCAGGGTTTTTTGATGTTAGTTTTTATGTAGATCTACTTTTTAAAGATGAGAAGATTCATACTTAAGTGATGGATTAAGGGCCTGGGCATTGTCCCTGAGCTTAAAAGCTTAATGCTAGCACTCTACCACTTGAGCCACAGCTGCACTTCTAGTTTTCATTGGGGACTTATGTTAGTGGAAAGAGTCTTACAGACTTTCCTACCTGGAGTTGGCTTTGAATCAGCCATCTGAGTAGCTAGGATTACCGGCATGAGCTACCAGGCCTTAGCTAAGTGATGGATTTGAAAAATGAATTTCATATTCACTTATATAATAATGTGATTTTCTTCTTTACTCATAAATATAGTAGACTGTATAATTGGTATTTGAATAATGAGCCAGCTCTGCATGGAGGCTTAGTATATACTGATAGGGAAGGAACTATGCATGTGTGGCTGCCAGTGCTTTGGGCAGCTGTCTGTAATTTCTGTTCAATTTTGCTGTGACCATAAAACTGGGAATGTGGCTCAAATGGTAGAGTGCTAGCCTTGAGCAAAAGCAGCTCAGGGAAAGTGCCCAGGCCTGAGTTCAAGCCCCAGGACTAGAAAATAAACAAAAAAAAAAACTGCTCTAAAAAGTAAAATGTAGCCAGGCACTAGTGGCTCACACACCTGTAATCCTAGCTACTCAGGAGGCTGAGATCTGAGGATCATGATTCAAAGCCAGCCCCGGCTGGAAAGACCTATCTCCAATAAACCACCAGAAAAACGGAAGTGGCACTGTGGCTCAAGTGGTAGAGCGCTCACCTTGAGCTGAAGAGCTAAGGGACAGCGCCCAGGCCCAGAGTTCAAGCCCCATGACCGACAAAAAAAAAAAAAAAGTAAAATGTATTTATTTTACTTTATTTCCCCCCAATTTAAAAGGGAAAAGTGGGTAAAAACTATACCATATATATAATATATATTAGATAATATATTATATATATATGTTTCTATACGTTCAAATACTCCTAAAGGAGTGCCAATGATCAAGATATACTGTATCCATAAACTGTTTGCTAAATAGCAACCCTTTAGTACAACAGCCTAAAGATAATAATTTAAAATTTTTTGAAAAGAGTTCATCTTTTACAGGTATAAACTAAAAAAGATTTTTTTTTTGTTGAATTGAAATGGGGTGACATATGTTGCCCAGCTGGTTTTCAACTCCCATGTTCAGGCTCCTGAGTATCAGAGACTATGCTTGCTTGGATTAAAGTCTTAACACTTTTTTCATGTGTATGTCAGTACTGGGCCTTGAACTCAGGACCTTAAGCTCTAGGCTCTTTCACTCATTGTTGGTGCTCTACCATTTGAGCTACACCTATATTACTGATTTTTGCTGGTTAATTGGATATAAGAGACTCTTGGAATTGTCTACCTAAGCTTATTTTAACTGATGTCCTCAGATCTCAGTCCCCTGAATAGATATGATTATAGATTGGTATGAGCTACCTGTACCTAGCTAAGATCTTACATTTTTAAATGTAAAAAGATGGTTGGGGAAAAAAAAAACACCTCAAAAACTATGTGACAGAGGCCATATATGGCCTGCAAGGCCTAAAATATTTACCCTCAATCTTTTGCCAGCCCCTAATTAAGGGGACCTTTATTTTTTATTTTACATATTTGTGTCTTAATGTAAAGAATTTAAATTTGAAGAATTTAATTAATTTAAAGAATTTAATCTGAAGAATTTTAAAAAATTCTTCACAAGTTTCTGTTATTCTCTAGCTATCATGATCATTTTTTTTTTTTAAAAAAAGGCTGAGCCAGGCGCTGGTGGCTCACGCCTGTAATCCTAGCTACTTAGGAGGCTGAGATCTGAGGATCGAGGTTCAAAGCCAGCCCGGGCAGGAGAGACCGTGAGACTCCTATCTCTAATAAACCACCAGAAAACCAGAAGTGGCGCTGTAGCTCAAGTGGTAGAGCGCTTGCTTTGAGCTGAAGAGCTGAGGGACAGTACCCAGGCCCAGAGTTCAAGCCCCACGACCGACAAAAAAATAAAATAAAATAAATAAATAAATAAAAATAAAAAAAGGCTGAGCCAAGGAATGTTTAAAAGATATTAGGAGCTGGGTGCTGGTGGCTCATGCCTGTAATCCTAGCTACTCAGGAGGCTGAGATCTGAGGATCATGATTCAAAGCCAGCCCAGGCAGGAAATTCTGTGAGACTCTCATCTCCAATAAACCACTGGAAAACCTGAAGTGGTGCTGTGGCTCAAGCGGTAGAGCACTGGCCTTGAGCTGAAGAGCTGGGGGATAGCGCCTAAGCCCAGAGTTCAAGCCCCACGACTGACCAAAAAAAAAATAAAAAAGATATTAGGCCATACCTGGTCTTACACTCTCCCAGCTCCCTCTATATCAATGCCTGGGTAGAAATACATTCAGATTCATAAGTGAATGTCAGAATTAAGCTTTTAAAGGGCCCCAAAAGAACATTCTGGATAGGGCTAGTCATCCTGGAAGGGAGCAAGGTGGACTGAAATTGGAGGGGCAGAGCTAAGTGGCTTACAGAGACAGCCACATAGGCCATCTTCTCCTGGGTAAGCACATTATGGCATTTCTGCAGCTTCCTCAGGAGCCTCCACAGGATCCAGGTTGTGCTGGGCAGCTCGACTTCCAGGGTTCTCCACAACTCAGCCAAGTGCCTACAAACCCAAGTAAAAGGATTCATGAACAGGTCATATCCCAAGCCTATCATGACCACAACCCTCCTGGAGTCCGTTTTAGGGCCAATCTATAAGAGGTTTTTCTCCCTGCTCAGTTCATCAGGGTATCAGAAAACATGCTGACTTGATAAACTCCTAAGGTTTTATTGACTCAAGCTCCCATTGCCTAGGCATGGACTAATATAAATGGTGATAAAATCTTTTCCTTTTTTTTTTTTTTAAAAAAACATTTTTTTTTAAAGAACTATGTTGGCCTTAAGCTTTAAATCCTCTGCATCATGCTCCCAAGATTGTCAATATTTTTTAACAAACTTTCCAGATGATTTGTTTCAAAAACTTCATGAGGAGCTGGGTGCCAGTGGCTCATGCCTGTAATTCTAGCTACTCAAGAGGCTGAGATCTGAGGATCGAGGTTCAAAGCCAGCCTGGGCAGGAAAGTCCATGAGACTCTTCTCTCCAATTAACCACCAGAAAATTGGAAGTGGTTCTGTGACTCAAGTGGTAAAGCACTGGCCTTGAGCTGAATAGCTGAGGGACAGTACCCAGGCCCAGAGTTCAAGCCCCATGACTGACAAAAACAAAAACAAAAACTTTATGAGGAAATGGAAATAATGGCTCAAGTGGTAGGTAATCATCCCCTGCAAAAGAAAAGAAGAAAAAAAAAGTCCCAGGGCAGCATCCAGGTCTGGAGTTCAAGCCCCAGAACAGGCACACAAAAACATACACACAAGTTCATGACATTCGATCTCAACTGATAAAAGCTGGGTTCAGTGGCACATTACAGTCACTGCAGCTATACACAAAATATTAATAAGAGAATATAGTCAAAGATAGCCTGGCCTTTTTACTCAAAATAACTAAAGCAAAAAGGGATGGGAATATAGCTCAGCTAGTAGAGTGCCTGAGGTCCAAAGTTTGAACTCCAGTGGAGTAAAAAAAAAATCTAATTAAGTTGCCATATTTAAAATTTCCTTAACAGCTTTTGTTTTCATTCCGGACACAACTGAGTTCATGTAGTGCTTTGTGTTATGTCACTTTAGCTTTTCTATATCTAGAACAATGTTCTTTCATGACATTAACTTTTTGCAGTTCCATTTATGGGCACTTTAAGTGGACTTTTGGATAAGCCTACTTACCTTATAGATATTCTTCATTGAATTTGTTGGCTTATTCCTTTATGTTTACTACATCACATTCTGATTTACATGTCAGGAACCCATTTGTTCCTTATCTCCTTTACAAGATTCTCATTACATTTTGGGGGGGGGGAGGCGGTCGTGGGGCTTGAACTCTGGGCTTGGGCACTGTCCCTGCACTCTTCAGCTCAAGGCCAGAGCTCTACCGCTTGAGCCACAGCGCCACTTCTGGTTTTCTACTGGTTTATGGGAGATAAGAGTCTCATGGACTTTCCTGCCCAGGCTGGCTTTCAACCATGATCCTCAGATCTCAGCCTCCTGAGTAGCTAGGATTACAGGCGTGAGCCACCAGCGCCTGGCTAAGATTCTCATTACATTTTTAACAATAGCTATGTCCCATAATACTCAGAGCTGTGTCTTGTACCCCAATTTAATCAAAAGGCTTTACAAGCTTCTATTACCTTTCATATGGCACTGGATGGCAAAGAAGATGGCTGAGTACTATATCTGTGTACTTAGGCCTGGAGATAAACAAACTCACAGTATTTATGACTTGTTGGCGGACTTTAGGCTGGCTGATTATGGATAGCCGGGCACAGATAACTCCTATAATTTCTGGCACCTGAAGAGGAAAAAGAAAGCACTAGTACCTTAATCCTATGAGACAATAATGGTTTCTGAGGATATTGTAGCCATTGCTGGAAGGTCCTAGAGCATGACTTTTAAACAAAGTATTTTATACTTTAAAAAGTTTGGTGCTGGTGGCTCATACCTGTAAGACTATCTACTCAGGAGACTGAGATATGAGGTTTGCAGTTTGATGCCAGCCTGAGCAAGAAAGTCTGTGAGACTTTTATCTTCAATTTTCCACCAAAAAGCCATCCTAGAAAAGTTACTAAGATTCTGCCACAGAAACAAAAGGGATAGGCACCAGTGGCTCATGCCTGTAATCCTAGCTACTCAAGAGGCTGAGATCTGAGGATCAAGGTTCGAAGAGAGCCAAGGCTGAGAGTTTATGAATCTGTTATCTACAATTAACTACCATAAAGCCAGAAGTAGGACCATGGCTCAAGTGGTAGAGCACTAGCCTTGAGTGAAAAACTCAAGGACAGTGCGGGATAGTCTCTGAGTTGAAGCCCCAGGACTTAATTTTTAAAAAGTTGAATGGTTCAGTGGTAGAACACTAGCTTCATAGATGTGAGAACTTCCATCAATGAAAAATACACAGATGTTAATAGTGTATTTTTGAATGATGAAAAATTAGTTTTTTTTACAGTACCCTCAATCATACATATATGTATATGTGTGTGTGTGTGTTTCTCTCTCTATATATATATGGAGAGACAGACAGACAGACAGACAAATAAATAGGTTTTATAATAAACTAGCAAATGTGAGTATGCTAGGTTATTTCTACTCGGATTCGTATGGCAGGGAAGTCCTGGCCCATTATACCAGATAAAAGAAGCATTTGCCACAGGGTTTGGTCTGTTTTTCTGCTTGGACTTCCCTTCCCACCCAAAGATTAGTGACTTCAGATTTCTGTGGAATTGTCAGCTTCCCAGAGAGTCTCCTTGACAATGTGATGTAAAGTGCTGTTATCAACACCAGATGTTAGAAGCTGGATTGAAGGATGGGCTTGTACATTATCTTTATAATAACAGTAAAAATGGGTTCTCCTTGGGCACTGGTGGCTCATGACTGTGAGCTACTCAGGAGGCAGGAAAGTCCATGAGTCTCTTATTTCCAATAAACCACTCAAAAACTGGAAGTGGAGCTATGGCTCAAAGTGGTAGAGTGCTACTCTTGAGCCAAAGAGCTCAGGGACAGCACTCAGGTCCTAAGTTCAAGCACTATGAGTGACGAAAAAAATGTTATCATTTCTACATTTTTTCCACTTTTTCTTTTGAGGACTCAACAAAGGTTCTTGTATGTACTAGGCAAGTGTTCTGCCATTGAGCTCTATCCTAGCCCTTACTGTTTTATTTTAATATTATGCAGGATAAATACCTTCAGTCAAATGGTAACCTGATCATATTTCCAGTATCCAAATGTGATCTAGTAGAAATACAGAGCTCACCCGTTCTAATTTTATCAAAATGTTTAATCCACACATGGAACGTCCAGTAATACTTCAAGGTTCTTGCCTTCCTATTTCCTAGGTCTGCTCTCCAGAGACAACTATTTTTGTGCTTTTAGCTCTTTAATATCCCTCTAGGAACAGCTGATACTATGCAAAACAAAAGAAATGTACATACCACTCAATGTGGAAATAACTGTATTGCAAAGCTCATAGAGCTCATAAATGTCATAGACCACGATAAACAGTTTGCCGCATGAGTTAGAATGTGTTTGTGACTTTAAGCATCACTATCCCACAATACTGTGAAATTTAGGAAATTATGTAATCACAATAAAGAATTTGAAATAAATAAATAAATATGTACCTCTATTTATTTGAGAAAGAGTCTCTGTAGCTCAGGCTGGCCTGGAACCCGCCTATAATTCAGCCTCCAAGTGCTAGTATTACAGATGTGTGTACCATGCTCTGTTTCTCTATATTTTATGTGATATAGGTTACTTTTTTCTTTTTGTTATTTCTTGGTTTATCAATTTTAGATATACTTAGATAAATTCTGTTGATTTTAGGCTAACTTAGCCTCCTTCCATGGCTACCTTAAATTCTACAGAATGAAGTTACCACATTCATATGTGTTAATTATATCTCCCCAGAGAAATCCTGCCCTTCTGGAACACACTCTAAACATGTAAAGCCTCCCTCCCCTATTTGGTGCTCAGGGGCTGGTTAGAATGTGCCTATTGCAGGAGAAATTGTTGTGAGCTACAGGGGTGAGCATGCTTGACCAGTACTTCAAACTTAGAAAATAGACCTGTGCTTTTACCTTCTCAAATCGAGATTCTGCATTTTTCACCAATGTTATCAGCAACTCCCCAGCTGTCTGCTGGCTGTGAGGATAAGGCAGATTTTTCAGGCTGTCCAAGGTGGTCATTACAAACTGGCAGAGCTCAGTGGAACTGAGAAAAACTTCAAAGACCTAGAATGATTTAGAAAAAATGAACTTCATAAAAATGACTAGATTTTAAGTGAACAGTCAGAGATATTCAAAGGTGTATGGGCCGTTTATTTCAGTCTTGTTGACTAAGTAGAATATTGGAAGTAACTCATATATTCACTGCTAAAGTCTGTGTATTGTCTTTTATTGGTCTGTCTTTTAGGGAGAAACTTTATTGAGACTGTTAGAAGGAGATGATTTTGGGTTTTTTTTTTTTTTTTTTTTTTGGTTGTGGGACTTGAACTCTGGGCCTAGGCACTGTCCCTCAGTTCTTCAGCTCAAGGTGAGTGCCCTACCACTTGGCCACAGTGCCACTTCCAGTTTTCTGTTCGTTTATTGGCGATAAGAGTCTCACGGACTTTCCTGCCCAGGCTGGCTCTGAACCATGATCCTCAGATCTCAGCCTCCTGAGTAGCCAGGATTATAGTTGTAAGCCACCGGCACCTGACTGTCAAAGGAGATACTTCATAATGTCCTGGCATAAGTAACTGTTTTGTCAGGAAACAACACACTAAAAGGATGCCATTTTGCTTCTTGTTGCACTTGATGGTATATAAGGTGATTAGGATAAGCACACTTTATTGGGCACTTACTATGAGACAGGCAAAGCTAAGCATTTTTCACATAACATCTCACTTGACTCAACTGAGTTGTTCCAACTTGTACACATCTCCAGAGGATAGACAAGGAAAGTAATGCAGAAAGTGACTGAATTATATTCTACCTTTTGACCCTACATGAGTAAGATCTGTAGGTTCTCCCCCTCCCTAGCTAATCCCTAACATGTCTGGTACCTGGAAGATGCATCAGTGTTTGCTGAATAATTAGTAACTAACTACATGAATTAAAAAGCATGTGTCTGATTGGCTCAATTACATTAGCTTGGAAGATTCTTTGTTTAGCAAAGGGTTTACATGTGAAACTGGCTGGTGCTTAAGGAGAGAATTAATCCCAAGAAATTAATAGTGACAATGGCTTGATCAATGGTTTAGTGATCTAAACCACTAAACTAAGATGAAAAGTGTGTAAGAATCAGGAACCTGGTATTTTGTCTAAAAATTATACAGAGAATATTCCCAGGGAAATCTCATATGTGGAGTTTTGTAAAAAAAAAAAAAAAAAAAATTCGGGGCTGAGAAGGTGGCTCAGTGGTAGAGCGCTTGCCTTGCATGCATGAGGCCCTGGGTTCGATTCCTCAGCACCACATAAGCAAAAAGAAAAAAGCCAGAAGTGGCGCTGTGGCTCAAGTGGTAGAGTGCTAGCCTTGAGCTGAAGGGCTGAGGGACAGTGCCCAGGCCCAGAGTTCAGGCCCCACGACCGGACCCAAAAAAAAAAAAAGTCCTAAAACTTTTTCCAAAGTGATTTTCACCATTTTACATATCCATCAGCAAACAAATGAGATTTCCAAATTGCTCCCCGCCCCAGCCAGCACCTGAAACTGTCTATTTGCTCACATCTAACTATCCTGAGTACCTGGGCAATTTTGGAGGGATAGCGGTAGAACCTTTTAATGCTGTAACGGTCTAGGAGTTCTCGACACTTTTTCAGCGCTCTTTTCAAGCTCTGGTGATTTTCCTTGTCATGAGTGATATCTAGGAAGACAGTATGGATTATTAGATTATGTTCTGGTTATTACTTTCTTCTTGATTTTATAAGTCTTGAAGTGAATCCTGTGGTTTTTCATTTGAACAAAAATAAGGAAGAGAGAAGACAAGTATTAATCTGAAGGCTGACTTGTTTCTCCTTTCTTATAGAGCAATATATAAAAAGCTGAAGAAAAAAGGAGTTTTTTTTTAATGTGTTTTTTTTTGTTATTTTTTTCCAGATCTGGGACTTAAACTCTGGGCCTAGGAACTATCCCTGAGCTTTCTTTGTTCAAGGCTAGTGTTCTACCACTTGAGCTACATTTCCACTTTTGGCTTATTCAGTAGTTTATTGGAAATAAAGGATCTCAGATCCTGCCTGGGCTAGCTTTGAACTTAGATCTCAGTTCCCCAAATGGTTGTGATTACAGACATGAGCCACCCACGCCTAGTGAAAAGAGGATTTTTTTTTCCTGTTGTTGTTGTAAGAACAGAGACTTTGAGTAATTTGTCAGTACAATCAAGGCATGCTACCACACTTCCCCATTGGGCATTTTGAAGGGGGAGTCTCACTTTGAAGTTTGGGTTGATAAAAATTTGATACTATCAAGCTAGGTGCTGGTATCTCATGCCTGTAATCTTAGCTACTCAGGAGGCTGAGATCTGAGGATTGCGGTTCAAAGCTAGCCCAGGCAGGAAAAGTCTGTGAGACTCTTCTCTACAATTAAACATCAGAAAACTGGAAGTGGCGCTATAGCTCAAGTGGTAGAGTGCTCACCTTGAGCTATAAAGCTGAGGGATAGTGACCACGTCCAGAGTTCAAGCCCCATGACCAACAAAAAACAAACAAACAAAAAAGATAATATCAGATACCTCAGTCTAGTTGTACTGAGAATTAAGCTCGCCAGCATTCTGTATTATCCCTTGTTTTTCTCATATTTTAGTGTGATTTCATCTTGCCAGAAATGTACCTATGGGAAGTCCTTGAGCTCAGGACTAAGGATATTGTCTCTCCAGCTAGAAACTAAGTTCCCTGGGGGAATCTTCCTTATCAGTGCACCCCTGGAACAACAAAGCTTTGTAAATATTTATTGAATCAATAACCAATTGAATTTCCTGTTGTATGTCTTTGGTGAGCATTGCTCATTCTTAAGAGCTTCCCAGGGTGGGGCTGGGAGCTTTGGGAAGCACAGAACTTCCTATTCTCTGAGATGAGGAAGCCTAGGAGACCAACTACTTGGGGTGATGGAGTAGACTGAGATTTTCAAGCACCGGGAGTGCTGAGCTAGGGATCTTCTGAAGTCCCTTCTGGCTGGAGGAGTTAACAACAGGTTCCTACTTTTCTTTTTTTTTTTTTTTTAGGTTCCTACTTTTCAAACTCTTGCCACTCATACTTGCCAAAGGCCGTTGCTCATCTGCTCCATTCACTTCATTTTGACCTGGGTGGTTGTTCTTTATTCCAGGCATCATTTTCAGGAAGGCCTTTTCTAAACTCTACAACTAGATTCCATTCTTATATCTGGCCCTTGTAGTTTCCCCTCTTAAGGGTTTTTTGTTGTTGTTGTTTTGTTTTGGTCCTGCAGCCTGTACTCTGGGCCTGGGCACTGTCCCTCAGCTCTCCAGCTCAAGGCTAGCACTCTACCACTTGAGCCACAGTGCTACTTCTGGCTTTTTCTGCTTATGTGATGCTGAGGAATCGAACCCAGGGCCTCATACATGCGAGGCAAGCACTCTACCACTGAGCCACCTTCCCAGACCCATCTTAAGAGTTTTTATTATTCCTGATAATAGTTATTCCTTGACACTGATTATCTGGATCCCCATTAGACTATCTAGAATATAAGACTGGGGCTGCTTGGGTTCGTTATTATTGGTTCTCAAAAAAACCAAGCCAGGAGCTGGTAGCTCATGCCTGTTATCCTAGCTACTCAGCAGGATGAGATCTGAGGATCATGGTTCAAAACCAGCCTGGGCAAGAAAGTCTGTGAGCGTCTTTTTTGTTGTTGTTTTGTTTTGTTTTTGGCTGGTTGTGGGCCTGAAGTCTGGGCCTGGGCACTGTCCCTCAGCTCTTCAATGCAAGGTGAGCACTCTACTACTTGAGCCACAGTGCCACTTTCAGCTTTTTCTACTTATGTGGTGCTGAGGAATTGAACCCAGGGCCTCATGCATGCAAGGCAAGCACTCTACCACTGAGCCACCTTCCTGGCCCTGTGAGCGTCTTATCTCCAATAAACTACTCACAAAACTGGAAGTGGCAATGTGGCTCAAGTGGTAGAGTGCTCGCCTTGAGCTGAGGGACAGTGCCCAGGCTCAAAGTTCAAGCCCCATAACCGCAAAAACAAAAAAACCCAGTAAACAGTATATGATAAATAATTTAATGAAGGCCCAAAACAACAGCAGGAACCTACCAACTTCTACCTAACTACATTCATAGGTCCATGCAGATGGCTCACACTGGATGGGTCTCCCATGATTCCTTTGTTTTAAGTCAGCATTGCCTCACCTCTGCCTATAGGCTGCATACCTTTCTCTTTATGAATTTTTAAAAAACTCTTTCTAGGGAAGGAGGGCTGTTGCTTATGTTGTGCTAGAGAATTGACTCGGCTCTCACTGCCTTCAGCAGTGCCTTACACTTCAGCCTCAGGGTGATATGTAGCAGGTAGTGTGTGCCCTCAGCAGCCTCCTCAGCCACCTCTTTCACTGGGTCCCCACACAGCAGTGCCATCAGAGCCACTAGATGTCCAAGTCTTTGGAATTGCAGGGGAAGCTAATTGAGAAGGAAAGAGAAAAAAAAATGCTATCAGAATACAGGTGCATTTAGTGCTTTGAATTGGAGCCAAGAAGCATATTAAGCATCAAGTAGGGCAAACTAACTGAAGTAAATGAAGAGGCTTTATGTATAAAAATGTTCATTGCAACCACATTTTGGAAATCATTGTGCAACAATGGAAAAGGAATTATGGTATAGTCACTCTGTAAATGCAATCATTATGAAATCAATGAAATCAAATATCTAGGCTGGAGATGAAGCTCAATGAGAGAGTGCTTGCCTAGCATGCGTGAGGCACTGAGTTCTATGTCCAGTTCTGCACCGAAAAAATATCAAATGTTTGGGCTGGGAAAGTGGCTCAGTGGTAGAGCACTTGCCTCCCATGCGTGAGGCCCTGGGTTTGATTCTTCAGCACCACATAAGCAAAAAGAAAAAAACCGGAAGTGGCACTGTGGCTCAAGTGGTAGAGTGCTAGCCTTGAGCTGAAGAGCTGAGGGACAGTGCCCAGGCCCAGAGTTCAGGCCCCACGTCCGGACCCCAAAACAAAAACAAAACAAAACAAAAATCAAATGTCTGAGGAATTTATAGCACTAGAAAATATGCTACTCTGCTAAGCAAAAAACAAAAGTGGGGTTGGGAAGGTGGCTCAGTGGTAGAGTGCTTGCCTTGCATGCATGAGACCCTGGGTTTGATTCCTCAGCACCACATACGCAAAAAAAGGCGGAAGTGGTGCTGTGGCTCAAGTGGTAGCGTGCTCGCCTTGAGCTGAAGAGCTGAGGGACAGTGCCCAGGCCCAGAGTTCAGGCCCCACAACCGACAAAAACAAAACAAAACAAAACAGAAAAACCAAAAGTGCAAAATAAGGTATAGCAAGTAATACTATTTTAGAAACATAGGACTGGTCATGGAAACATATAAGGTAGCTTGCAAAAAATACTAAGAAGAAAAAAAATGTTTTAAATTATTAAAAAATAGGAACTGGGAAGGTGGTTCAGTGGTAGAGTGCTTGCCTTGCATGCATGAGGCCCTGGGTTCAATTCCCCAGCAGCACATAAGCAGAAAAAGATGGAAGCGATGCTATGGCTCCAGTGGTAGAGCACCAGCCTTGAGCTGAAAAGTTGAGGGACAGTGCCGAGACCCAGAGTTCAGGCCCCAGGACTGACAAAAATTAAAAAAAAAAAAAAAAGAAAATAGGGAAAATTTTAATACTAAGCTAGAAAAGATCAGTGAAAACTTTTGTTAGCATGCAGAGTGCATATCATCCTTTGCTTGTATTTGGTCATAGCCCCAGTCTCTGAGCACATACTCGTGTTGTATTATGCACAATATTCTGTATAATGATTCCCATTATGCATAAGCTAAGAAAGACAAATTTCTCTTATGCTTCTTTTCTTTTTTGTCAGTTCAAGGCTAGTGCCCTACCACTTGAGCCACAGAGCCACTTCCGATTTTTTCTACTTATGTGTTGCTGAGGAATCGAATCCAGGGCCTCATGCATGCAAGGCAAGCACTCTACCACTGAGCCACCTTCTCAGCCCTCTCCTATGCTTCTTTAGAAATAAGATACAGAAACTGGGCACTGGTGGCTCACGTCTGTAATCTCAAGAGGCTGAGATCTGAGAATTGTGGTTCAAAGGAAGCCTAAGCTGGAAAGTCCATAAGACTCTTACCTTCACTTAACCACCAAAAACCGTAAGTTCAAGCCCCACAACCGACAAAAAAAAAAAAAAAAGAAAGAAAGAAAAGGAAAGAAGATATAGAAATCCTACTAGCACCACTCTGCACAGTCCAATGTGAGTAAACTAAACATTTTTACAGAGTTGTACAAGTTGGCTTTCTTTCTTTCTTTCTTTCTTTCTTTTTTTGGTTTGCCGTGAGGACTGAACTCTGAGCCTGGGTGCTGTTCCTCAGCTCTTCAGCCAAGGCTAGTGCCCTACCACTTGAGCCACAGTGCCACTTCCAGTTTTTTTTTTCCTGCTTATGTGGTGCTGAGGAATCGAACCCAGGGCCTCATGTATGGGAGGCAAGCACTCTACCACTGAGCCAACTTCCCAGCCCTGTAAGTGAGCTTTCATTTACTGGATCTATCACCAGAACTGGAGATCTAAACTCTGAACAAAGCAGAACATCCCAGCTGGGCACCAGTGGCTCAGGCTTGTAATCTTAGCTACCCAGGAGGCTGAGATCTGAAGATCACCATTCAACCCAGTCAGGAAAGTCAGTAGACTCTTATCTCTAATTAACTACAAGAAAAAAAAAGTCAAAGGTAGAGTTGTGGCTTAAGTGGTAGGGAGCTAGCAAAGAGTGAATAAAGCTCAGGGACAGTGATCAGGCCCTGAGTTCAAGCCCCTGGATGGCATAAACAACAACAAAACCCCACAGAATATCCCTGCTCATCATGCAGGGTGGCAATCTAGTTGGGGAAATATTAAAGTAGCATCTAAAATTTATTATGCATCAAGTGGTGATAAATACAGTGATGAAGAAAACACAGGAACGGAATAGAAATGGTTTGTTTTTCAATGGTCAGGAAAACTGCAATGCTATTGAAACAGGGAAGTAAGTCAGGCAGATTTCTAGAAGAGTGTTCCAGGCTGAGGGAGCAGAAAGTGCAAAGGACCAAGAGGTGAGTGTTAGGAATTCTTGAGGAACAGCAAGTAGGCTAAGTTGCTGGAGTGAAGTTAATGAGAGAAAAGAAAGGGGAAGTGGATGGAGAAGGGGCCAGGCAGTATAGCAAATTGTAGAACAGTGCAAGGATTTGGAGTTTCATTTTGGCTGATATGAAAAGCTATTAGAGGATGTTGCTCAGAGAAAGGACATGAGCTGGATCTCATTTACTCACTGAGCATCAGTCACGTGGCAGATTCTACACTAGACTTTGAGGATACTGCAGTGACCAAGGCAAATCACCCCTGGACATTCCACTGGAGGGAAACAGGTAATAAGTCAATAAAGAAATAAGTCACAACACCCTAGACCCACGAAAATGTAGAAAGGAAACACTGAAGGGCAGATATTGGCAGGGGCCTCTTTTTGTGGACATGTTTGGACAGAGCACTAGAGAAGAAGAGGAGCTGATTACTGGAAAGCTGGGGGAAACACTCAAGGTAGAGGAACAAGGTGGTGAGGAACCTAACAGTTGAGGCATGGAGTGAATGGAGTGTAGAGGCAGCAGGGGTAACATCACACAAGACCTTGTATTCTAGACAACAGTTGGGGAGAAGGAGGAGAAAGAAGAGAAGGAAGCAAGAAAAAAGAAGAGGAAGAATAAGAGGAGGAAAAGGAGAAACTAAATATAAAGGGAAAAACGAAACAAAAGCAAATGGGGATATCTGTCTTAGAAGTAACTCTGACTACATCTAGACAACAGACAAGAAGGAACTGAAGCAAAGGACCTACCTCAACAGCTATATACAAAAAACTACTTGGGAAGGATAAACACAATGTCATGGTGCTTATCTCTAAATGATGACAGCAAACTAGTAATTTTCTTCTACTTCTGATACCAGGATTGGGACTCAGGGCCTTGCACTTACTCAGCTTGCTTGTTCTTGCCTGGTGCTCTACCATTTGAGTCATGCCTCCAGCCCAGTTCTTTTTTTTGTCAGTTGTGTGCCTGAACTCTGGGCGTGGGCACTGTCCCTCAGCTCTTCAGCTCAAGGCTACCACTTGAACCACAGCACTACTTCTGGCTTTTTCTGCTTATGTGGTGCTGAGAATCGAATCCAGGCTCTCATACATGTGAGACAAGCACTCTACCAATGAGCCACCTTCCCAGCTCCCCAGTTCTTCTTTGTTATTCTGGATACAGAATCTCATACTTTTCTACTCACACTTTTTTGTTTGTTTGTTTTTTTGTTTTTGGTCGGTTGTGGGGCTTGAACTCTGGGCTTGGGCGCTGTCCCTGCGGTCTTCAGCTCAAGGCGAGCTCTCTACCGCTTGAGCCACAGCGCCACTTCTGGTTTTCTAGTGGTTTTATTGGAGATAAGAGTCTCACAGATTTTCCTGCCTGGGCTGGCTTTGAACCGTAATCCTCAGATCTCAGCCTCCTGAGTAGCTAGGATTACAGGTATGAGCCATCAGCGACCGGTACCACACTTTTTTTGAACCTTGATCCTCTACATCTTAGCTTCCTGAGAGTTAGGATTACAGGTGTGAGCCAACTGCCCCTGGCTTCTTCCTCTACTTAAAAATATATATTTAAAAACTCTTCTATACTAAGCACATTTATATTCATAGTTCTTATTTAGAAAAACCCTATACTTTATGAAGACCAAAAAAAAACCCAGAAAGCAATAGGTGAAGTGTATTTCTAGTTCAAACATTGGGCACATCTTTGCTGTTCTTTTTCTTTTTAATTCTTTTTCTCTTTTTCTTTAGATTTTATTGAGAATATGAAAAAAGTTAAGTCCACACTGATTGTTAACTCATTAGTTTGCTAATTAAAGCCAGCCCAGGATATACAGCAAGTTCCACATTGCAAGACTCTGTCTCAAATACCCTTCACTGAACTGTACTGATGGATTTCACTGTATATAAATTATACTTCATGTAAGTAAAAGTTATAGGCCTGAAAGAAAGCACCCACCAGTGGCCTGATTCTATGCTGTTCCTCTCTGTTATGGCCTCTTTAACTTTTTTCCACCCCAGTCTCTCTCTTCAGCAGTTACTTTGAATTCAGAAATTATGACAGTACTGATCAATTGACTGCTTTATAACAAGGATCAAAACTACTCCCAAACAATTGCAAGCCTCCCAGGACAGATGAGATCCCATGATGAGATCCATTTCCACATGAACTCCTGATGGTTAGGCTGTACCCCTGAGGAGGAGAAATCATCTCATGGAAACTAGACTGCAGACTTCGAGTGATGACAGGAATGACAACTTCTCCAGGACTGCTTGTAGACCAGATAATGGTCAGTTAGAACTGTGGCCCAGCAAGATAGCCTGCCTGCACTCTCAGCTATGAGTTGTTCAAGTCCCTATTCCCTTCCTTTTTTTTTTTTTTTTTGGGTCCGGTCGTGGGGCCTGAACTCTGGGCCTGGGCGCTGTCCCTCAGCTCTTCAGCTCAAGGCTAGCGCTCTACCACTTGAGCCACAGCGCCACTTCCAGCTTTTTTCTTTTTGCTTATGTGGTGCTGAGGAATCGAACCCAGGGCCTCAGGCATGCAAGGCAAGCACTCTACCACTGAGCCACCTTCCCAGCCCCCCCCTTTTTTTTTTTTCCAACAAAACCTCAAGGGTACCATTATTAGATCCTTGAAGATGGGCCTGGGTGCACTAAGCTTCTTTATCTGGTTTTCTAAATGTGGTCATAGTGCGTAAATCTCTTCTCTGCTCTCTAATGGCTCACATTTTAGGAAAAGGGCAGGTATACGAATAATGCTGAATGCTGTGTTGCCCAGGCTGGAAGTCATAAGAGGGAAAAGGTATAGCTCTGGATCCTTCTTCCTCAACAACCAAAGAGCTGCTCACCTTCAGGCTGAGATGTCTCGATAAGCACTTGAGAACTTGGGCCATGGTGTCCGTGGCCCGTTTCCTCTCATGGTTTTTTGCTGACTGTAACCAGGGCTCCATGTGCTAAAAAATAAAAATAAATAAAAATAAAAAATTAAAGGGGGCTTGGGGTAACACTTTTACTCTGTTTGGAAGCAAACATAGAGAAATTCCACATTATTTAACTTTGATGTCTGAAAACCCTGATGACAAACCAAATTGGGTTAGAGATGAAAGTGGATGGTTGATAAGCAAGGCCTAAGAATCTGGGTAGTTAGGTCTAGATAGCTTACTTTCTACATTTATTTCCCTTCATCCTAATTCTTAAATATTCCATTCTCTTATATCTTTTTAGCCCATTCAGATCTGCTTTGGAAACAATAAAATGTGCTATTAAAGAACTATGTGGAGGGCCTGGAAGGGTGGCTCAGTGGTAGAGGGCTTGCCTTGCATGCAGGAGGCCCTGGGTTCGATTCCTCAGCACCACATAAGCAGAAAAAGCTGGAAGTGGTGCTGTGCCTCAAGTGGTAGAACACCAGCCTTGAGCTGAAGAGCTCAGTGCCCAGGCCCAGAGTTCAGGCTCCATGATGGACAAAAAACTATGTTGAGGAGAAATTACATCTACCTGGACAGTCATGAAGGGAATCACGGAGAAGATTATAGCCACAAGTAGGAGCTCGTCAAGAAGGTAGTGTTTTTTTGTTGTTGTTTTTTTTTTGGGTCCTGTCGTGGGGCCTGAACTCTGGGCCTGGGCGCTGTCCCTCAGCTCTTCAGCTCAAGGCTATGGCTCTACCACTTGAGCCATAGCACCACTTCCGGCTTTTTTTTTCTGCTTATGTTGTGCTGAGGAATCGAACCGAGGGTCTCATGCATGCAAGGCAAGCGCTCTACCACTTACCACTGAGCCACCTTCCCAGCCCCATAGAAGGTGGCTTTTTTTGACAGAGGAATGGCTTGAATTTAGCTCCCATGACAGGAAAGTAGGAAATACAACTGGATAAAGGGAGAATACTCCAGCTAGTTGGTATGATAATATACAAATAGAAATACAATGAGAAAAATGTCAAGGCCAATTATGGCAAAGAGGAATGCTTGCCTGTACTCAGGTGCACATGATTATTAACAGCTTAATGGGTTTTCCCTTTCAGGGATATCTGTGTCTTTAAAAAGGACAAAAGAGGGCTAGGAATGTGGCTTAGTGGTAGAGTGCTTGCCTAGCATGCATGAAGCCCTGGGTTCGATTCCTCTGTACCACATTAACAGAAAAGGCCAGAAGTGGCTCTGTGGCTCAAGTAGTAGAGTACTAGCCTTGAGTAAAAGAAGCTCAGGGACAGTGCCCCCTGAGTTCAAGCTTTAGGACTGGCAAATAAATAAATAAATAGGACAAGAGACCAAGGTACTTAAAACTGTAGCTAATCCATAGCAATAAATCTCTATTGCTGGATGGCATAAACTACAATAGCTATAGGTCAGGCAGACGGTATGGCCATTTTCTATTTTTTTATTTTTGGGTCCGGTCATGGGGCCTGAACTCTGAGCCTGGGCTCTGTCCCTCAACTCTTCAGCTCAAGGCTAGTGCTCTACCACTTGAGCCACAGTGCCACTTCCAGCTTTTTTCTTTTTGCTTATGTGGTGCTGAGGAATCAAACCCAGGGCCTCCTGCATGCAAGGTAAGTGCTCTACCACTGAGCCACCTTCCCAGCCCCCATTTCCTATTTTTGAGTCCAAGCTGATTGGAAGCTATCAATTTATTAACTTTTAAGGCTTACTAGACCCTGGTTACTGGCTGAAACTCTTCTATACTAGTACTAGACAATGAAGAATAATTATAAAAACCACTTGAGGGGCTGAGAGTGTTCCTTAGTGGTAGAGTGTTTGCCTAGCATGCATGAAGCCCTGGGTTCCATTTCTCCGTGCCACATAAACAGAAAAAGCCAGAAGTGGTGCTTGTGGTTCAAGTGGTAGAGTGCTAGCTTTGAGCAAAAGAAGCTCAGGAACAGTGCTCAGGCCCTGAGTTCAAACTACAGGACAGGGGAAAAATAAAAACAAAACAACCACTTGAGCCATTTATTGAAGGCCATTTATTCAATACTCATAGTAATCCAGGAATGGTGGCACATACTTGTAATATGAGCACTTGGGAGGTGGAGGCAAGATGATTGTTTGAGGATAGCCTGCGTTACATAGTGAGTCTGAGACTGGCCCGGGCAACATATTTTTTTTTTTTTGGTCGGTTGTGGGGCCTGAACTCTGGGCCTGGGTCCCTAAGCCCTTTAGCTCAAGGCTAGTGCTCTACCACTTCAGCCACAATGCCACTTCCGGCTTTTTCTGCTTATGTGGTGCTGAGGAATCAAACCCAGGGCCTCATGCACACAAGGCAAGCACTCTACCAGTGAGCTACCTTCCCAGCCCCACAAATTCTTAAATTATTCTATCAGACCCTGTCTCAAATGAATACTCAAATGAATATCTTTATGGAAAGGTGAGAAAACAAGAACTCCTCACAGAACTTATAACAGAACTTGTAACTCACAGAGAGCAGGCAGGATGTGAGCCCCAACCCCTGACTCAAAGCTGATCACTGCTTCTCAGCTATGTGTTGCCCCCAACACTTAATTGTCCACATTCTCTTCTTCCACTTGCACCAGTGAATAGGAAGTTTCCCTTCTCCCCTGATAATCTTTTTACCTTAAAGATGGTGTCAAATTTTTCCAAATGTGGGTCTTTCATCACAAAACTCTGTAGCATGTCAGAAAATGCCTGGAAAGTCTGCCTGTAGAGACACTGAAAAGGCATGGGATCAGTAACGCTCCCTTCCTAGAAAGTTCTCCAAGCACTACACACTGCAAGACTCCTCTCACCACCTTGACACTTAACCCAAAGGTCAGACTTACAGGAAAAGTAACCAAGGACAAAGTATGGCATGAGGTTGAATAGAATAAATCTGCATTTTATGTGAATAGTGCTAGTCCTGAGACTTGAACCCAAGGCCTAAGCGCTGTTCCTGAGTTACTCTGTTTTTGTTTTTTGTTCAAGGCTAGCACTCTACTACTTGAGCCACATCTCCACTTCCAGCTTTTTGATGCTTTATTG